GGAACAGCATGACGTAGAATAGATGCCTTTTTTGGGAAGCAAGAGAGATTTTCATTGGGCCTCTGTAATACTATAATTCAAAAAATAATCAGAGGAGGCTGAAACCTTTTCCTTCACTCCTGCCCTCATCTTCTAGGTTTTCCTGAGTGTTAATTGTGATCATGTGCTTGCTACTTTGTGGTTTAGAAAGACTTCATTCCTTGTTATTTATTGAATGCAAAGGCACCTGTCCCCTTTCCCGTTGTAGCATGGCTATTTCTAAAATTTCATAATAAACTGATAGTAATTCTACAAAATAAGAATTGCATGACTTTCCCTGTACTAATTTTAATTTACTATTTGTGAGGAAACCTTTGACTTTTACTGCAGTTAAATAACCACAATTAATATTTCTTTACTGAAATTTCATAATGTATTGGCAGGCTAGATTGCTTTGTAAGAATTGACACATATCTCATTTATACCACTTTTAGTTGAATAATTGTTTATCCCCGAAGAAATACCCTGCAATCTAGTTTATAAGTTTATACACCCACATCTTAATTGCTGCAATGACTTCTGACTTCTCATAAAAGGCACAGGAGAGCTAGAAAATATACAAAAAAATACAGCAGGAACAATCATAAGTATGGGATTGTTTGCACATGTAAAGGCACCAAACAACAATGGTATTTCAGCTCAAAAAAAAAAAAGAGATGACTGTAGGAGAATGCAGAATGCTGATTCATGTTCCTCAGAATACAAGAGCTTGCAGGGCATTGTCTGAAATAATGTGCTTGAGAGAAAACAGAGGGAAGTTGATTTCACAGAATGCAAAATTAAACTGCAGAATTTACTGACATAGCATATTACGGAGGCCAAGAGAATCCCATGACTCAAAATGAAATGATATGAATTTGTGGAGAATGAGTTGATAACCTGCTTATTGTAAAAAGGAAGGCTTAGGAGAAGTCTCAGTTGCCAGGACCCTTCCCCACTGAAAGCCTGAAAGGTGCAACAGAGAAATCTTTGTCTGTACAGACCTTGTAAGCACACTGTCTGCTAAAGAAGGACCTTCCACTATCCCCTGGTGGGTAGACAGGTGTTACAGAGTCTGACAAACTTATTTAAGTTGTAAACTTTTTCTCAAAAATCCTCTTTGCACTTGTTCTCCCAGTTTTCTGCCAGGAAAGGAGTGTACAGGTCCTTCTGTGTGAGTCACCAAGATGGAGCATTAACATGGCTTTGTCCTGGGTTTCAGATTTACTCCCAGTTTTTACTGTTTTTTACTGGGGTGTGTGTGTGTGTTTTTCGGAACAGATCATCCTGTGGCAAGAATAAAAATAATCTTGCATATGATTGAAGGTGTGGTGACAATTAGACTAAAGCTTCTACCTTATAGTTATCTATTTTAGTTGACAGAGAATTAGGATAGGCTCACCATATTGCTGAAAAACAGGGGGTTTTCACATTTAAAGCAGGTAAATAAATGATTATCATTCATATGCCAGTGCCTATCAACAATCAAATGCTATTTAAAAGATGCCACAGATGCCACAAGTAAAATTAAGCTAAACACAAACTGACATATATACTTGTCCTGCATGACCTACATTTGGCTCTAATTGTGGATGTGGAATCTGCTTTTGCCAACTAAGCTCTAGCTATATTGGCAGGTGTGCTCTTACAGAGCATTTAGTAGTTTGCTTCCTCTAAAGTATTACAGGGAGATTTTGTTTTTCATGACACACTATGTGAGGTTGCCTGTTCTCCTGATAACACTTACTAAGACCTTAAGGAAAGTACAACATCAATTTAATATTATTGCTATTGTTAATTTTTTTGTTATTCAAAGACCCTGGGGAGAGATGGTGCCTCGTATACGAAAACTTGAAAGATGAACAGTGCGATGGTAGTTTCTATATGGAATGTATACATATAGCTAAGACATGTATGATAGTATTTCATAAAACAATGTTGTGGAGCTGTATTTCAGCATCTCATTTTGCATTACATTAAAAATTAGCTGAAAAGAATTGGTACACTAATACATTTGCAAAAATGCAACATGAATAATTGCCCTTCTATGCTGATATTAATGTTTCATTGTCTAGTATGAAATCCTTGCATTTATTTATGTATTATTGGCTGAGGGTAGTTTAACTTACAGGAAGCCAAATGATACATATTTTTTTTTCCCCAGGGTCCAAAAGAATCAGCGACAGTGAAGTCTCTGATTATGACTGTGATGATGGAATTGGTGTTGTTTCAGGTATTGCTGTCTATAATTTCTCATCTATGTTCAGTAGAAATATTTCTTATTTATAATTTATTATTATGAATTTTATAATGTTTTTCTGGTGAAAAATAAGTAGAACTTAAATGTATATTTTTCCGAAGACGCAAAATAAGTATTATGGATAATTAATTTTTAACCTCAAAAATTACTACCACAGTGGAAAAAACATCAATGTGTGAATTTCCTTGTTGCTGTTATAAAATTATAAAAATACCATAAAAGTAATTTTTTTATTAAATGTCAAGAAGTGACAATCATTTGATTTTTTTTTGACAGAAATTTCATGATGGAATAATAACACTGCCTAAGGTCTGAAACATTTAAGGCAGGACAGGAGATATCTTAGCAGATAATCTGTTTCACTAAGTATTGGAATTGTATTTGAGATAAAAGTTGTCATGTGAAAGAGTAAGGCTGATACTCTTCTAAGAGGAAAGATAATAGTGTAATCATAGCTAAAAACAATACAATCAGAATCATATGCTTTTGATGACTGCAACAAAGAACATAGGATCATAGAATCATAGAATTTTTTAGGTTGGAAAAGGTCTTTGAAATCATCAAGTCCAATCGTTAACTTAGAACCATTGAGTCTATCACCATAAACCATGTCCTCAAGTCCACATCCACATCCAGATGTCTTTTAAATACCTCCAGGATGATGACTCTCCCACTTCCCTGAGCAGCCTTTTCCAGTGTTTGTCAATCCTTTCTTTGTAGAAACTTTTCACATTATCCAATCCAAAGGTCGCATCTGTGATAGACAGTCTCTGTCACAGCAGCTGTGAGACTGTGATTTGCTCAGGTTGGTCAAAATGTATTCTTGCCACTCAGCCACCCATGAGCATATGGGGTATAGTACATGCTGCTGGAGGCTAGGTGAGGGTATATAGGAAACAGGAGTCAGAGGAACACAGCTGGTCTTGGAAACAGAGGGAAAAAAGGAGATAAGCTAGGCAATTCTGGATATTTCAAGATGGTGTGCAGCCAAGTATTGATTACCTGAGTTTGCACAGTTCTGTCTTAAAAATTGTTACCAGTCTGAACTCAGATGCACTTCTGTGTTGTCTAGTCATCCTTTTATTTCCATCTATTTCATGGTTATCTCATAGGCTCTGCTTAATTTTTGACCCTGGTATGTTACTATTCCATGACATGGGCCTTGTACTTGTTGGGAAAAAGGGATAACAGCATGTAAATTTTATGAGAAAACCCTCTTATAAACCAACAGAATATTATACAGACTTTGTAGTACAAACAGGGCAAGTCATATTTACTCTACTCTAAGGTTTCAGCAGTTTTACCAGAGACTAAATGAACATTGTGGCTGGAAATCGACTAAATTTTCTTATGTTCCTTAAATCAATATTAAGTTCAGTTTTAAAATTATTACCTTAATTAGGAAGGTATTTGGGAAAATTTACAGCCTGTCCTCACTAAAAGAAGGATGTTCTTATTGCTGTTGGTCAGTTAAATTAGAAATGATCAGCCTAATGTTGGAGCTTAATAATAAAGACAGGAGAATGGTGTTTTGATTGATATATTTCTGGAGTGCCCAGTGTGGCATCAATTTGAAACTGACATTTTTTTCTTGTCCTGGAGAAAGGTATTGAGTTTTGCAGAAGTTTTATGATGTGCTTGAATGTCAGCAGGGTTCCTGTGAAAGATCTAGGTTTACAATTTTATTATTTCATAAACTAATCTTTTGACAACTTGTAAAGTTATGGTCTTTACAGCTCAATGAATGAGTCTACTCTGCTTACATGAGTTTCTAATGTACCTTTAGTTCTTCAGGATCTTTTAGCTTTTGAATTTTTGCTGACAGTTCTACACCTTAGTTGCATTTTAATTCAGCCTGGTTGTGTGGGTAGGAAAGTTTGATGTTCTTTTGGTTTTGAAATATTAATTTATTGCTGTTCCTTTTTTGTGCTGCTGTCACTGTGTTTTCAAGTCTTTTGATTTATCCTTGTCTTACCATCCACTATCCTTATAATCCTTCTCTCGTTTAAGGTTCTTCTATTCATTTGCAAACTCATCACAATCTTGTTTTAAATATATGCCTTCTTTGTATGAAGCCATTTGTCTCTCTTTGTTTTCTTTCTTTCTTTCTTAGCCCAGTTCTTTCATTTCGTATTTTCAGGTTTTATTTAACATGACACCTCACTTTGCTCGTTTTTCTTCTGCCGTATAAATACTGTATCACATCAAGTATATTTCATAACATCTGTTCAGTACTTTCAGTGATCATTTCCATAAAATTTATGCATATTCCAGGTATTGCACCTGTGAACTAAACTCCAGAAACCTTTAAGAAGAGTAAGAATTCTCTTTTGGTTCCTCTTTAATTCACTTTTAGTCATAACACTTGACTAGATGTCCTTTAAAGTGCCCTTCCAACTCGAACCATTCTATGATTACATGATCTCTTGGAAAATTATCCACAAAAGCCATCATTTCTTGTGGCTTGGGTTTTATTCTGCTTAGACAAACATAACAAACTTCAATCTGTTGTTTCGGACAACATTTATTTAAGAAAATAGCTAAATAGATTGAAAACTTAAATGTCTTTTTTTTTTCTGGATAGACATGTATTCTACGCCAGCAACTGTCACAGAGGGTTATAACATATTATGTATTTAAAATGCAATTTTTATAATATACATTCATCTTGGGATCAAAAACACTACAACAGAGTTTCTATTACACTTTATCCCTGTTGGATTTAATCTCAGCTCAGGATAGCAAAATGCATTAGCAGTTCTGGTTTTGTCTTTAGATTGCTTATACATAGCCCTCAAACCATTTAAAGCATTCATTCCCCTGCCCTGAACAATAAACTTTGGCCCTCAAAGTTGTCTGTTCTCAGCAGTTCTCTGTGGGAGAACATCAGCATCTTCACATACCCCTTTGAATGCTCTTATGTGCTTATTGATAAAGGTCATACAGTATTTTTATATTGGTTTTGAAAAAATCCAGAGCACTGTACAAACATCATTTAAATTGTAACGCTAAATACAATTCAGTGAAAAGCAGCTTGGCTTTTTAGGTGGTTTTTTTTTTCTCTTTCCAATGCCCAGAGGCATGCATCACAGTTAACCAGGTTCAATGAATATGGACTATAATTGCTAAATAGTTTTCTTCCCAGGTACTTCATAGTGTATGTTGAACCTCCTGTAACCTACTGAGTACAAGCAACATACTGAGTTTGACTTCACGAACAGAGCCATGGATTTCAGGACAATTTGATCATAAAATTCTCACCTCTCGTTGTCATAAGACTTAAATATTAAATGAGATATTAATGTTTAAAATTCCGTTCTACACCAGTATCTCTTCTGCATTACAACATATTATGGAACACTTGAATTCTGAGATACATTTCAACAGATGAATCGTGGAAGAAGAGAGGCAGTGAATTCTGCGTAAACTGCATTGCAAGTCTCTGTAGAGAAAAGCTGTTCAAAGTAGACTAGTGCAATCTCCAGCTTTGAGAATAGAAACATTTATAGTGCTAAGTTTTTCTCATTATGCAACAGATAGCAATATGTTTCAGGTGCAAATAAGAATGCAAGTAAGATATTTATTTTGAGGATAGGTAGAGGCAAGTAAATTAGGAAAAAATAGTAATAATCAGTAAAAAGATTCTTAATGAACTTGAAAAAATGTTTCTGTGTTTGAAGAAGAATTGAAGTACTGTGTCCAGTTCTGGGCCCCTTTCTTCAAGAAAGACCTTAAGGTGCTGGAGCACGTCCAGAGAAGGGCAATGAAGCCAGTGAAGGCTCTGGAGCATAGATCCTATGAGGAGAGACTGAGGGAGCTGGGAGTGTTTAGCCTGGAGAATAGGAGGCTCAGGGGTGACCTTATCACTCTCTACAACCAATTGAACACAGGTTGCACCCAGGTGAGTGTCAGCCTCTTCTCCCAGGCAACTAGTTGCAGGATGAGAGGACACCAGGGGAAGTTTAGGTTGGACATCAGGAGGAATTTCTTCACAGAAAGGGTGATTAGACATTGGAATGCACTGCAGTGTCAGCCTGGGGGTGTTTAAGGAAAGACTGGACATGGCACTTAGTGCTATGGTCTAGTTGACATGGTGGTGTTCAGTTGAAAGTTGGATTTGTTGATCTCTGAGGCCTTTTCCAACCTAATTTATTCTGTGATTCTATTAAAACAGTTAGCCATTTTTGCTTCACTTCTCAAAACACCTGAGGAGTCCTTTGTTCAAAAGAATTCTTTCACTGTCATGTTTCAGTAAAAGTTCTCCTCTCTGCTTGCTGATTACATGAACAGAATTTGTATGCCTGAATCCTGTTGTTCATTGCTTCTCAAAGCAGGTACAGAACACACAAACACTTTGGTTACAGCTTGAAACCGACTGCCTTTTGAAAGACATCTTACAGCATTAGCACATCAAATGGATGGCTTCTAGCCCTACTAAAAACCACATTTCACTGTAAATCACCAGTGAGGCCTAAATGGGAGCCTGTAGTGACCCAGAAGCCCAGTAACTACAGACATAAACACTAACAAGCTTTTTCTTTTATGATATGTTGATACCTAATGCCCTTGCTCTAAAATCTGTTCTTTTTGGGTTTTTCCTTGAGTTAAAAATATTAGTCTATGTGTCTCAAAAAAAACCCCAAATTTGGAAGTGAAATTCAAGCCTTGGTAAAATAGTCCTTATGGTGATCCCCTAGGTCAATGGGTCTTTAACCATTTTCCTTACTTTTAAACAAATTATGTATATATTATTTACAACTTTATACCTACAGTTCTTTATGCCTTATTATAATTCTTGAGCCTTTTCCTTGAATTTTTAGTTTCATTTTTAATGTCTACTTTTTATTTTTATCTGTTCTCTTATTATTTGAATTTTTAATGTAATAATTTTACTTTAAAAATAATAATTCCTTAGTATCATTTCCTCAGCTGACGAATCATCTTTCTCTTCAAATATCCAAATTCTCTCAATG